AAAAAAAAAAATATACAAGAAAATTTTAGCATATATTTTGAAAAGAGGGGAGGAGTGGGGGTAGGAGGGGAGGGCCCAAAAACGGCTATGCCTAGGGCCTACGAAAGGTATAATCCGGCTCTGATAACATAAAATTAATAAATAACAAATAAATATAAACAATAAATATGATTCCAAAGATATACATAATTCTTTAAATATTCTATAAAGAGATAGATAAAAAAACATATTTAAATAATATAGATCAGAATTGTTATCAATGATACATTATCAAATTACATAAAGAAAAATTTAAAATAAAATAAATAATCACAATAAATCAATTTGAAAAAGAAAGGAAGAAAAAAAAAAGGGAATTATTGATAAACAGCATTGATTAAAGCGTGAGATTTACAAGCAAAAGGTGATCTCACTAATGTTGTAAATATAGATTGAATAATGTATATTTAAAAAACATTTTTTTAACTTTGGTAAATTACTCATATAAAACATCTTACCTATTTCCGGTGAATGTGAATAGCCCTGTTTTAGAATCAAATTGAAATTGTGAATCTTTATATCCCCAGCCATTCCATTTTAAGAGCTCTTGCCTGACAATTAAAAAGAAAAACGCACATTTTGATAAAAACATTTAACTTTAAAAAATGGATTTGAAATTAATAACATTATCAAATTAGTTAAGGTTACCATACCTGTGTTTAGGAATAACACTTTCAGTAGCTGCAACATTACGATTGTCTGAGTTATTAGCAGAAAGATGACGTTTAATTGTTTCTAAACGATCTTTACTAGGCATTTTGACTAGATTTTACTTTGATCCCAAGAAAGAGTGCACACACGTGAAAAAAGTCACATAAAAAATCCAATAAGAAAACACTTTAGAATCTTTCTATAGAAAGAAAAGATCAGCAACACGTAAAACAAGGTATGATGGAATTATATGAAAGAGAGAATTGAAATAAAGATAACATTATCAGCAAATGCATCACTTCACCGGTAAATTATGTCAAGTAGAAATTTTCAATTTATATACCGAAACAAAAACAAGGTTAATAAAAATGCATCTGGCAACAAACTTTTATCGCCTGTTTCGGGATTTGACAGAAGCGCTTTAATTTTTTTTATAGGTTTTCAGAGATAAAAGATTCAAAATTTATGATGAAAAATAAAAATATCTCAGAAAAGTTTCCTTCTAATGAATAAAGGCATCGCAAATCATTTATTAATTAAGAAAATTATTACGTAGTTATAGCACAGCTCAACTTACAACCGTTATTGATGTTGCCATGGCTACAGCTCGTGATTTAAAAGATGGTATTTTTTATTTATATATATATTTACTTTCTAACTGTATTCTCTTAAATTTAGATGAATAGATAATGGTTATTTTTTTTCAGTTCTTTTTTATTTATAATAGTTCCATTTAACATTCAGGTTCTATGGTGCAAATAACTTGCTATGAAATTGCTTAAAAACGGAAATTTTTGCTTTGTAAAATCATTTTTTATATTATATTCAATCTATCATTGAAATTTCATTAAAATGATAAAAACGCATAAGTAAGAGGATTTTCATTCATTTCATTAACTCCTTACAACAGCAAGTCTTCCGTTCTTATTGTAAAATTATTATATGTTAATGAATAGTTTATATGTTAATGAATGTAATTAAACTAGACATGCAATCTTGAGGTTAAAAAATAAGTTACTTTATAAAACTCATTGAATTGAAATATATTTATATTTGTTCAGATATGGAGTGCAGAGTTACAAAGTATTAATCTTAAAAATCATAATGTTTAATGCTTTATAGAGCAAAACAAATGTTAAAACATGAAGTCGATCAAGTCGAAGGTGTACGAAAATAATACAAATGTTATTTAACATCTTGAAAAATTAATAGAAAAGAAGAACATAGTAAAAATAAATTTCATTTTTAACTTTATTTTGTACTAATTTCGGAATAAATGTCAAATTATTTTTTTAAAAAGTGTTATCGAAAACACGATGCATTTTAAAACATTTAAATTAGCAGTTTGAAAATGAATTGCATTAATTGTTTGATTAAATTTAAATGTACAGCAATACATGCTCATCTTGGGCAAAGAAACTGATATAATATTTGTGATAAAATTACTAGGGATTAAAAGAAAATGCATATAAACTAAATAACTTTCACATGTATTTAAGGATTAATAAAAAGAAAAAATATTGTACGTAATTTTTATATGAGTTGCAACAACTGAGCAAAAGCTGACTAAAACAGGATGTGAGTGCTACTTGATACTAAAAGATAAGTGTAATCTCACATAAATGTGAATTAAAATTTATATATATGTATACACACACTTACATATTTGATTAATTTATAATTCTTTTGTTCTCTTTCAAAAAAAAAATATTCAAAGACAGTTAGTGTATGCCCTTATAAAAAATTAATGAATGCATACAAGATATCATGAGCATCCTTGAAGGGAATATATATGTCCCTTTCAATAATTAAAAATATCCCAAACTCCCCTTCAATATTTCAGACAAGCAGCGAAGATTTTTGTCAATAACTATCATTAAAATTCGTTAAAGGTAAAAACAAGAAAAAGACTAATCAATTTACAGATGTTTAGTAGATATGTGAAATTTTTTATAAGTTAAATTTTGAGAACTGGTGTCACTGTGTAATTTAATTTAGCCCCCTCTCGAGAATTGGATGCCTACAATGCATATACAGAATATTGTGCTGATTTCTCCAAGTAGGGCAAACCATGTCCATGAAAGTAGACAACCTGGAATAAGAATTTTTGGAGGTCCTGTCCACTTTCATTCAAAGAAAATTCAAGATGTTTCATGTTTGTTAAGTGGTTAAACAAAGTAGTGCCTCTAAAATTCTCTTTAAAATTTTACACCTAATGGTGGTCTTCCAATAGATGCTAGGGGTCTGTCCAGACATTTTGTGAAAGGTCCGTTTTTGTAAAATTGTGAAAAAATTATTCGTAATTTGTGAATATAAAATAAACGTTAAGTCACATTCTTTCAACTAGGGTCCTGTTTTTGTGCAAATAGGGTCCTGTTACTACAAAAAAATTTTTAAGGGGTTTTTAAGTTGTAAGGGCATACAAGATTATGCTCAACACTGTAAAATTATAATTAAAAAAACAAAACATAGTTCGTTTACATATCTCTCCCCCACCCCCTTCCTTGGTGCAGCATGTCCTCTTTTGAACTTTGTGCCACTAAACCCTACATTCAATCCAATCCCACCCCCTTTCTGGGAAGATTTTATTCGATTAACAAAACAATAATGAGGATAAACAACTTTGTGAAGGGTCCAATTAAAATAGGGGTGCACAACCTTTTTGAGTGAAGGGCCACTTGCACAGCAGGTTGGCTAACGAAGGGCCGCACATGTATTTAGACATGTTAATGACAAATGTAATAATGTTTATTTAAACATTAGCATTCCATTTCTTTATCTATCAATAACTTAGTAGTGTTCCATTATTAGAATTCATTCAAAAATAAAAAAAACTTGATACTTTTTTTTTTTCGAAAAGAAAAAAAAATAACTTGCTATTTTTATCATATGACCAATAGATTCATCAAAATAAATAAACATTGAAGAAAAGAAATATTTTTTTATCATATCATGCAATATGAAAACTCATTTTAGAATTTATTCTAATAAATTAAAAAAAAACTGCATTGTCCACAGAATGAAAGTAGGAAAAAGTTTAGTCGTAATTAAGTAATATAAATTCAAATTAAATATTTTAATTAAAGAAAATGTATAGGTTTTAAACAAAAGCCTAAAATAAAAACAAAACTGTGATAGTTCAAAATAAAATTCAATGCTTATTTTGTAATGTACTTAATTATTTTATTTTATTAATTATTAGATTTTTTATATCGTAAACATTTTCCTTTTTTTTATCGAAAAAGATCACTTAAGCAACAAAAAATTGAAATCTAAACTACTAACAGTGAGCAGTTTAAAAATTCACGTTTTCCGCCATTTTATGAATTTCTCAAGTTGCAATAACATTGCATTTAAATTAGGGAGGGATGTAACGAGTATTTGGCCCTTCTGTGAAAAATTCAGTTGGTTGAATGATCAGTCAAATATTTGGCAAAATATTTTTTAGAAATGCATTTTTCTAAGTTTTTTTTATTTTTGAATTTTTATAGATATTACTTTTTTTTTTAAAATTATAATCAGACAAGTCAATTTTGTCATTTTTTCGATACTTTGAGAATTGAGAAGGATCCATTTTTTGCAGTTTTTATTATAACCCAGCATTTTAACAGAACGTCTCATACTATTAATTTATTATCACTCTTTCCCTGTACTGTAATATAAATAACCAGTAACATAGAAAAGTGTGATTTTCAGCATTAAAGTTTTGTTTCAGGAACTAAGAAAAATTTGTTTTTTCTGTTTTTCTTTTTTTAGGCATTTTTATTATGACTCAGCATTTTTTTAAAAATAAAGTTACAAATAAAAAAAATTTTTATAGCAATTTTTTTTCTTCTAAAATTATGGCAATGAGAAAAATTTAAATTGAGATTTTCGGCATAAGATTTTCACTTAAAAAATTAAGAACATTTTTTCTATCTTTTTATTTTCTTTAAATAAAAAAAAAACTTTTTTTAGACGTTTTCATTATAACGCAGTAATTTTTAATAGCATTTCTGTTGACTTAATTCTTTTTTCTTGGCTTTTTCTGGTAATTGAAAAATTGAGATGTTCAGCTTTAAAAAAAATTTTCAAAAATTAAGATTGATTTTTACGTTCTCTGTTTCGCTTTTCGACATTTTCAAAAACGTTCTTGATTGGCCTTATTTTTTAGAGTTAATTAACGTTTTTCCAGGAAATATTATTCTGAGCATTGAAATTTTAGTTTCAGTGTTGCTATACTGCTAAAAGATTTTGCTATTTGGCCCCAAGTGAACGGCGTTCAATAGATTTTTTCTTCTTCTTTTTGCCGAATATTTGGTTTTTGATCAAATCACAATTCATTACCACATTCGACCAAATCATATTCGTTGCGGAAATAAAAAAGAAGGAAAAATAACTAGGATTTACGATAAAACTGTACGGTAATACCGTATCAAAAAGTGATTATTTAATTGCGTGATTAACAATCACGTGTCGTAATAACATCATAGTTAAATAACGGGATCGTCAAAATCACGAGGAAAAGTATAGAAATAATTAGGAAAAAATATATTTATGCTGAACTCAGGACGAATAAAGCGCGTCAAATGCATGATTTAAAATTTGCATGTCGTAACAGAATAATTGGAATTTTTTATAAAACGTGGGAACGCATAGCAATAACTGCCGAGAAAAAATTTTGAAAAAAAAAGAAAGAATTGCAAAAGAAAGATAAAAAATCTCTTAGATTTAAGATGAAATCGTTACAAATGAAGTGCACAAAAAGTGATTATTTAAATTTGGGATCTGAAACTCGCGTCGTAATAAAAATTCGGAATTTTCAAAATCACGTAGAAAAGTGGAAATAACTGTTTAAAAAAAAATCATTTATATTTGCGATAAATTCGGCTTCAAGAAAGCGCGTTAAACGTACATTTACTAAAGAATCTGTTAAAATTTATTGTGTCAAAACGTGATGACTTAAAAGTGCGATTAAAAATGGCCATTTTTTAAAATTTCTTTTAAATGTGTTTAGAAGCTCTCGCGGGCCGCACTTCAGTAGTCGAAGGGCCGCATTTGGCCCGCGGGCCGCAGGTTGTGCACCCCTAAATTAAAAGATAAATTATTTTGTGAAGGACTCGTTTTTAAGTAAAATTATTTTGTGAAGGGTCCGTTTCTATGAAAAGATATTTTGTGAAGGGTCCGTTAACTGACCCAAATTTCTTCTAAATAGACGCCTGGATGCTTTGTCTTTTTCTTTAAAAGAAAAAAAAATATTTAACTTTTAGAAGATTACTATCAATAAATTATTTAATTTGCTTCAATGTAATTTTTGTGAGAATGAAATTTTTTTAAAAAAAACTTTTGTTTTGGATATTATAATGAACAACAAATTTGAAGCAACAACCACGGAACTGTAATTAGGCCCAGAGCCATCGTAAGTGGGGTATAAATAGGGTATTTGCATAGGCCCCCACATTTCTAGGTCTCTTTGAAAATCTACTCAAGAATGAATAAATTTATGTATTGTATTAAAAATTTTAAAACTTTCATTTCTGTTTCAATGTATTGAATAATTTTAAATTAAATATTATAATACAATTTGTACGAAATATATTTAAATATTTTTGGTTGATTATTAGAATGACACCCCCTTTTATGTT